TGTGGATGATTTTGTTATAAAATGATTTATTTTTCTTTTCTCAGAACTTGAAACCGAGGCTTGGCCATTTCTTAGCAGAAGACTCTTTCTTGGCAGGTCTTGCGTTTGGATCGATCAGATTCTGGAGCGACTTGGCTTTGTGGTTCCGCGACCGACCAGCTTCCTTCAAGAGCTCGGCCAAACGCTTCTTCTCGTCCTCAAAATCCGGATTCGCAATCCCTAGCTTCTCCTCTCTCAGCTTTAGAACCTGCTCTAGAATCTCAATCGCATCCTCTATCCTGCAAGTTACATAGCCATCACAGAAATGAAATCTTAGACTTTTGCCATATTTGAATCCTAACCGTTTGTGATGTTGGTTTCGGTAAACCAGCACATCATCAGCGTAATTTCACATAGTTTTCTATTCAAGTTTTAAGACATTTACCTTCCCATGGCGTCATAGGTAGCAGCCAGATTGCTGTAAACCCCGAGTGTGTCCTGATCGCAAGGTCCACGTTCTTGTTCAAGAATCACTCTTGCTTCTTCAAACAGCTCACCCGCCTCATCAATCTTGAAAAGCTGAACGCAAGCTAGTCCCATCTGGTTTAATACAACTCCAAAGAAGGCAGATTTCTCACCCGCTGCCCGCAGTTTTGTTACAGCGCTCTCAAATGCGTTTCTTGCGTCCTCGTACCTCCCCAAGGTGTAATACATAACTCCCATTCGGGCCTCTAACCCTGCAAGTATGTTCATAAAGCCAAACTAATGTAAGGAAAGCTTTTTGTAAAGATGATTGCAAATTATATTTCGATATTGCTTAGTGTCACAGAGTATTTTATCTACTGAATATCAGATTTAGATTCATTTTTTCTTGTTTGATCACAATCTAGTTTGCTATATATTACACCTCCATTCACATTACAAACACACTAACAAATTAGCATCTTGGGTAAGCCTAAAACAGGTAGATAACAGCCCATTTCAGCAGCAAATCACTAAAGTTAATTCGAGCGGCTTTTACTAACATGCTTAACAAACGAAAGATCAGTACTTTACAATCAATTGTGACCAAGATGCACGATCTTAAACTCACTGCACAGCAATCCAGCGAAGAAAAAAATATTGATGGTTTTGATCGATTTATTACCTGCAATGGCGCTCTGCTGTCCTGGTTTATCATCAAGCAATTTCATTGACTTCTGAAGTAGCTTCAGTGCTTCCTCAGGTTCATCCACAGACTCGTAAATGGCAGAAATCTCAGTCAATCCACCAGCAATCTCTTCCACAGTTGTCCCAGGCACCGGCTTGTTGTATATCCTCAACGCGTTCTCACAGTAGGACTTGGACTCGCGGAGTTTCCCTGTCCTGTGGTAAAGCTCAGCCAATCTGACAAACACTGATGCGACCGTAGGATGAGTCTCGCCTTTAGAAGACTTGAACACAGTGAGAGCCTTCTGGTAAGAGAACACAGCTTCATCAAACCGGCACAGTGACATGTAGATATTCCCAATGCTGACATCAATTGATGCAACCTCGGATTCTTGTCCGCTAGCAATCATGGCCATACTGGCAAGGACAAGGTGCTCGAGGGCGTTTTCATAATCTCCTTTAGCCTCGCAGATGATTGCCATCAGCCTCCTATCAGCTGCCTCCTCTAGTGAGGCGGGTTCACTATGCGCACGGTGGATTTCTAGAGTTTTATTGCATAACTCTTCCGCTTTATTAAACTGCATTGCCTGAACATAAGCTTCCGCTAAGTACCTGAGAGGATAGGGAGCTTCAGAAACTAGACACAGGGCATTGTTCAATTGAATCACCAAGCTCACAAAACTAGACAAATCTCACTTAGATTCACTTGCTATAAAGTTTAGATCTAACGGATAAAATCAACATTCAGCAAAACGTAAACTAATACTGACACTATATTGAATGTTGGAATTAAGAATCTAAAGAGTTTAATTAGGCAATAAATGCTTAATTGAGAAGTAACATTAAGAAAGTAGAACCTGCAAGTTTCTCCGACTCGTGGATCCGTATCGCCCAGAGTCTGGATCTGGATCTTAAGACCTTCCTCATAGCAAGCAATGGATCTATCGATCTGACCAAGCATCGACAACGTGTCACCGAGTTGCATATGGCCGGAAAACGCAGCGAGAGAGTGGTCAGGTCCACGAGTCGGGTCAGGAACCTGGATGGCTCGCTCGAGCGGCGGGACTGCTTCATCGAATCGGCCGAGACTGCAGTAAATCGCAGCGAGAACGTGAAGACTCATAGCCAGATCGAGAACAGGTCCACCATCGCTTCCGCCTGGAATAGGCGGAGCAACGGCGGCGCAACATCGCTCAAACGACTTAGTAGCACGGATCGCGTAATCTAATGCTTTGTTAGGACCTTCACCTGAAGCTATGGCGTCACGAGCTAGCTTGAGAAGGAAAGGGCCGAGATCTGGATTATCGAGAGACGGATCGTCGACGTCGATTACGGCGGCGGAAGATACGCCCGGTGAATCTTTTTTGCCGGATCTACCTGGTGAAGGTTTGGATCGAGATGGTGTAGAGGACGGAGTCTTCTTCATCGGGGTTCGGGGTGGATTCGTGAGCTCGGATCGTTGAGGTTGCGTGTCTGGCACGGCTACACGTAGCGGCGGCGCATCGGCCGGAGTTTTGACTGATACGAGGCCTGGCATTGCTGGCATTTATGT